GACAGGAACTCTGTCACAAACTGAACTCTATTTAGGCCATGACAGGTCATTCTAACCGTGGAAGAGAACCCCTCAGTTCTGTCCGAGGCCTGCTTCGGGGCAGTAAATCTTGTTTCTTCACTCGAGGTGACCCCTACACAAGGATGAAGGACGCACTTTCCTCTTTTTGTTGTTCACAATTGAAGCCAAAAACATGGGGTAGAAAACATGGGGTAGAAAACCTGGGGTAGAAAACAAGGGGTAGAAAACAAGGGGTAGAAAACATGGGGTAGAAAACATGGGGTAGAAAACATGGGGTAGAAAACATGGAGTAGAAAACATGGGGTAGAAAACATGGGGTAGAAAACATGGGGTAGAAAACATGGGGTAGAAAACGTGGGGTAGAAAACATGGGGTAGAAAGTGTGAAGTTAAATAAAAAAAATACCCCAGCTTGTTAGCAGTGTTAGTGGTTGCTTTTGTTGCTGGATCATGACGTGCTAGCATGAACCAAACACCAACAACAGTTGGTGTTTGTGTTTTCAGAATGGAACACAGATTATTTAATTTAATAGATTTTTTTTACAGTAAAAACAGTGAAACAGCTATTTTGTTTCTGGATGCAGAAAAAGAGTTTGAGTAAACTGGAAATTCTTATTTGCAACCCTGCATAAATGTGGTTTTGGAAATGATTTCATTAATTGGTTAAATATTATATAACTCACCAACAGCATGTTTCAGGACAAATAACCAAATATCTTCTAGTTTTTGTTTACAGAGAGGCACCCCGCAGGGATGCCCACTGTCCCCCTCACTGTTTGATATTTTTATTGAACCTCTAGCAGCTGCGATCAGGCAAACTGCAGATATTAAAGGCATACAATGTAAGAACATAGAACATAAAATCAGTCTGTATGCTGATGATGTCTTACTTTTTCTTCAGCATTCAGAAAACTTCCTATCTAAGCTCAGTGAATTAATAAACTCCTTTTCATAAGTTTCTGACTCCTCTATAAAGTGGTTAAAATCTACAGTTCTTCCAGTTGATAAACACAGTCGTAGCTTGTTTTTCATYTCTGGACACATTTTATTAGTGAGTCAAGCAGCAGAAATGGTTCTTTKGATTATAAAGGTTGCAGAGCCCTGATCGAACTGATTTAACAACCAACTTATGGAGCAAACAATTTTCAGCAAATGTTCAAATCAAGTGAATCTAACAATTTTATTTATGTTTAGTGTTTTCTGCTGTTCTCTTTGTGTGTTTCCACAGCATATCAAAGTGTTAATAACATGTGTTGTGTATTGTGCAGAAATCTCACCCCATTAATGGTCACCCAAGGCACATACTGGTGTGGAGGGGTCAAGGCTTTGGTCTTCAGGGCATTCTGGTGCATGAGCTGGTTTCCAGTGTCCCCCTTCACACAACTCATCAGTTTGTCAGTGGTCAACTCGGGGGCATAGACCTTCACACACTACAATTGACATATACAAAAATTAACACAAAAAAGTTTAACACCAGTCCAACTATAAGGTCACAATGTTCATACACACACACAAAAACATCCTTACACTTTCAGCTGCACCGAGGACATCAGAGGAGGACTCCATACAGTAGATGATGTGGAAAGCCATGTCAGTCATGTTGAGTAAACAAGTCTGTGGAGATCAGACACACAACAACAAATAACTTCATTACTTCCACTATTTAACATTTTAGGTTTTATTTAATATTTCTTTTTAAACACAATGTTACCATGTCATACTGATGTCAAATCTGTTCTTTCCAGCTCTCTTCAAGCCATTAAAGTTGTTTGCCTAAAACTAACATTTAACACTTTGTTTTTTACATTTGTTTGGTTGAGAGTCAGTGGTGATCAATGGGTGAAAATCTGAAAGGAAATCAGGCTGATTGGGAGAGAAACTGAATTATGTCTCAAAATGTTGGAATAATAACATTAAATGAAGCTGAGCACAAACAGTTAGTCAGTTAGAAACTAGTTGTTGTTGTAAATTATTAACTTGTCAACACATTTTCATTTAACAAGAATATATGAAACAACCTCTGAATTTAAAAAGACAACAATCCTTCTGTCCCTGGAAGGACATGTCCATGAAGTGCCTTACAAATTTTTATTTATTTTTCTCCTTTGGTCACAGCTTAATGTTTTAGACTGACAAAAATTATATTAGTTGGGCCAGACCTTTAATGCATTAATCACCATTAACTACAGAAAACTGAAAACAAAAATGTGTTAAAAATTAGCTTAATGAATCAGAGCTTTGTCCTAAAGCTAGTTTAGCAGCCACACAGAGCTGCTTGTTGCAGGTTGTTCTCAGCGTTTCCAGATGAAAACAGAACAGATCCTGGACTGACGGGCTTGACACGTCTCCTTCAGTTTAATGTTTTTAAAAAACATTAAATTCAAATCTTTGAGATCACTGTGATCTATTATTACCTTCCCAAAAATACAGCCAAATGTCTAAAACGCCTTAGTTATGGTCAATTTTGCTTTTTAGCTACGACGGCCATTTTCTATTTGTGATTTGGCTTCAGTGATGGAGATCCTTCTTAGCTGACACCTCATCAAAATTTGGCTAAGTGTTTTAAAAAGGCCGAGTTATTATAGTTTCACATTAGCTCTGGTGGCCATCTTGAATTCTAATTTAGAATTGAGAATTTTTGAAAGCTTCTTCTTGGCTACTAGTTTGTCAGTTTTCAGCTCTGTGGAAAGGTTGGGCAATATTGGCATAAAATAATCATGATTAATTGTTGGATTTAGCCAATAACGATTAATTTAACAATTAATCCATTGGACCCCCTTATGTCCTGGTCACATGACTAATGTAGTGGGAAAGATTTACTCTTCATAAAAATCTGTTCTAAACTGTGTCAAAACTACARACTTCAGGYTGTACATCAAATTATAAATTGTGTTGATAGATAAATAAATGACAGAACTGTTTTAATGTTCATCACATTTGAAGCGGAGAGGAGCACCGAGCTGGTGGCATTAATCATATTAATTATCTAGTACCAAAAAATAATCGATTGTTTTACTGATGATTAATTGCACATGATACGATTATGCCCAACCCTACTCTGTTCGTCTTAAAATGGCTCAATTAGAGCTTCTTTTTTTAATTAGCATAAGCGGTTAGCTTAAAGGGCCAATATTATGTGTTTCTCGGGCATATATTTAAATACTATACATAATAAAGTATCTATATAATTAAATACTATACCATAATAAAGTATCTCTGTCACCTTTAGCTGTTATTAAAATGCTGTTTTTATGTTTAAATAGAAAATAAACTTATCTTCTCACTTCCTCTTCTAAACACCTTGAAATTGGCCTCTGTCTCTTTAAGAACCKCCTTCTGCTTCTGTCCCGCCCATTTCAGTGCGGGGGGGAGGGGGGCGCCCCGGGGCAGTTTACTTGGCATCTGAAAATACATTTCCTCAAAGGTATTTTTAATCTGAAAAGAGCTTCACTGAGTGAGAACTAATGTTGAGAGCTCAGCAGACAGTTAGGTTTCACTTTCACTTTCACCTGAGAGCCTGCAGGAGTCATGGGCGGGGTCTGTGGGGAGTGGGGAGGTTGGGGTGCTCTGCCATGAGGAAGTTCAACTTAAAGACACGTCCCAGGGGTGTTTCTGGTACCAAAAGGTTTTTCTGGTACCAAAAGGTGTTTCTGGTCCCCACCTGTCGTTTTGCTCCTCAGCATGGCTTCATAAAAACACTGCAGGATTTCTCCAACATGATGAATGAGTCAGAGCAAGGCTTTGGACATGTTTTTCATGAGAGTATAACATTATAACATGATATAAAACTCAAACAAGTTGATTTTACATGATATTGACCCTTTAAACTTGTGATTAGCATTCAGAATGTGTTGAGTTAGCTCTCAGCTACCAACCCACCAAATTTCAGCTTTGTGTGTCTTAAAACTGTTGAGCAATCAGGGCGCCATTTTGAAATACACAAAGCCTCTTTTTGTTCTGTCACTCATTAGTCTATTCCGCCCAGTAACACAGTCAGCCAATCAGAAGGCCAGATTGTGATGTCATTAAAAAAATTCTTTAGTTCGCACCAACGTGTGTGAAAACTATAAGATCTATTTAAATAATTCTTGAACCGTGACAGAAGAGACTGGTTCTTAGTCATGGAAATGTTCAAACATGTACAGCTCTTCATCTCAGAGATATGTCGAGTTAAAAATTGTAGTTTTGCACCTGAACCAAGGAAGGCAAGTCCCTGACTTCTGATGCACTTTGACAGAAAACCATTTGTCATACAGCAAAACCAGAAATTTGTCTGAAAGAAGACAAAAAGGCTTGCGTTTTGATATATAATTTTCCTGTGTGTCATGAAAACTGTGACTAAAGGAAGAAGATACAGAGATATGGATGTAGAGAGATGGTGAGGTGGACAGTGATCCCAACAAACAGTAAATTCAAATCTTTATTTAAACTGGTCMGCACGTGACAAACCCTTTCATCCTTTCTCTAAATATTCTAGTTCTTATATTTTTAAATTTGTATTTATTTATGTAAATAATTGAGTTTAGAAAGGGTAGTTTGGATAGTCGAACCTCGGATTCAGGAAGAGCAGTGTGGTTTTGGTCCTGGTCGTGGAACACTGGACCAGCTCTACAC